CTTAAAATTTGATTTATTCTTAAACATACAATTTTAAACGTTTAAATAGAATGTATTCTATAATTAATTATAAAACCTTTTACATTATAAAATGCACATATATTAAAAAAAAAAAGGCGTATAAATCTTCACGGTATCTTTACACCTTTACAGTGAGTGCTACATATTTTTTCTATTTTCGTGGTTTAGCTCGGTAAACTTGAAAGATGGTCGTTCAACCTTATAAATTCAAACACTCACTAGAACAATATGATGATACCGAACATTATATTTGTTGTATAAAGACATTGAAAGATGTTGATTTTATCACAAGATAATGTAACCAAAATGTTTTATTGAGTTAGAAAGTACTACTTCAACCATTTCAAAATACCAATCAAATATCTATAACCCGAAAAAGTAAACAAGGACTTTCGCGTGAGAATTTAAGAAAGGGGCGGAATATATATATATATATTTTAGAATTAAATCAAAAGGTTCAAAGAAAATCTCTTTTTACACTTCTGCTTAAATAATAACTAGATTAATTTACATGTTGAAAACTGATTAGTTGGCGTAATTTAGTAAACAAGTCATGGATAATGGTTTTTTTTTTTTTTTTTTTTTTAAAAAAAAAAATGTGTTAGTGATAAATGAGTTGCAAGAACAAAGACTGACTTACACAAACTCGATTTGTAATTATAGAATGGAATCGTAACTCAATAAAAAAAAAAAAAAAATTATAACAATATTAAAAAAAAATTTATATAATCATAAACAAATATTATACTTTCAAGTATCACGAGGAAAAAAAACAAATTACACAATTATGTCTGTACTTTACTTGTTTTATCCTTATAGAAAACCCAAATTCATAATATTATCGAAATAGTTTTGCTGAGTATAGTCGTGGTACGCGCAACGGGGCGCCCCATTGTTTTTATTATTCTTTACCAAATGTGACAAATGTTTGATAAATAATTAATAAAAGCTTGTCGTATCGGATATTACGCAAAATTAAAGCTTCGCAATTGGTGTTTACTTTTTTTCAAAGTGTTTCATCTTTCTAAAATTGTCATTTGTGTATGTTAAACTTTCTAAATGATAAATTTTTTATACTTCTATTTAGAATAAATTATCTTTTTTTTTTTTTCCCTCCCGGGACGCGATCATTTGTAAATTCATATGATTTGCATTATATTTAAATATATAATGTATGAGATATATTTATACTTGTTATTTTAAAATCAGTTACTAAAATAGCAGCTGCGACACGATCCCAATATATAATTCGTAAAAAATTTCGCGATTTGGTATACTGCGCACAATATAATCGAGATCGTTGCTGCGCCGTTAACTTTCAACTCTTCAAAGGCGAGACCAAAAAAAGATTCATCGAAAATGAAAAGGTTTCATTGATTTATCTTGTATCAAAATGCTTATTGTTGCACCAATGGTAAATATTTTCAAATATAAAAGCGGGGCTTGTACCAGTCCTTCATCCTCGAATTTTTTTTACGTTTTTTTTTTTTTTTTTCCTTTTTTTTTCTTTTATTTATTTATTTTTTTTTTTTACAAAATACCGTTATTAGAGCGTCAACTATTCGTTCATAACGAGATTTAAATTTTATCGCAAAAAAATTATATTATCAAGTGTGAATTATTTATAGAAGCATCAACTTGTGAGTAAATAAATATATATATATTGGACATGGCGGATGTAAAGATTTTGGTTCAACAAGTACACGCTTTAAATTATTACAACTTTAGATGCTTAAAACGTAAACTATATTGATGTGTTATCATAGAAGAAATCTTTACATTTGAAATCATGGAACTCCTGATTAAAAAAAAAAAATATGAGAACCGTTTGAATGCAAATTAATGAACATGGTGGAAATATCGTTGGTTTACCAAAGAAAGTTCTTTAATTAAAAGGAAGCTATAAGCTAGATTGCAATACTTGAAGGTTAAGTTGTCGCTTGAGATAGAAATTTCTCAACAACAGTTTTGCATTATACCAAGCAAACATAGCGAATTAGACATTCATGTTTTCAACATTTAATATTAATTCTAAAAGCGACGCGTTAATTCCTCATTCTTTGGATTCGGAAAAATGTCAAAGGAAAATAAATTCGAAATGAAACCCTGGATTTGGAGCAATGCGGTAATTGACAAGCAAGGTTAAATATATATATATTTTTTTATTTCACATTTTATCAATTTAATCTTTATCAGCAGAACAATGTTTATTTATATCTATATAATTCTTTAAACAGACTCTATCTTTTGAAATAGTTTTATGAGTTAAAATTCACTTGATGTTTTTAATTTTCAACATTCAAAGATAAATCTGGATTCAACATAAGATTATAGAAAAAAATATAACTTTTGTATTTCGTTCATCAAAGTATCTTATTAGAATTAAATGCAATCATATTCCGTTCTGTTTCATAATGCTTTAATGTCTTTGGATCAAATTATTTATAAGTGGATCTTTTAAGGTACCGTTTCGCATCTTTAATAATTGAAATCGCGTGACGAAATTTCACACCATTTACTTGCTTGCTTATAGCATGGTTTTCAGTCGCGTTTCTCTCATAACATAACAAGTGCGCGTAAATTTTTTTCGCGTAAACAAGAACCTTAAATATATATATTTTTAATTAATTAATTGTCGAGCTATTAATTACTAATAAAGGCTTTTAAGGTAAGCTGCGCCACACTGGCATTATAAAAAAAAATTTTTGATTTTTCAAAATCTGATTATAATTTTTTATTAATTGGGCTCCGGATGACTTTTCCAAAATACCAGGTTAAAGTATGAACGGATAATTTATTAAAAATTATAAAGGTGCGGTTCCCGCAGTATGTGGCACAGTGCAACGAAAAGAAAAATCATTCACAATTAATAAACATTTCGATCAATAGATGACTACCACAACTAATTTTTAAATCTACGAAGCATTTCCTTTGCAAATTCAACATATCCTTCGCGAGTCATTCCCATTAAAACTACATCCACGACACCACTATTAAATAAAAATTCCAAAGCAACCTTTTCGATACTTTCATTCTCATCTATATTATATTTTTCAATTAAATATTTTCTAACAGCTTGTGATCCACGATATCTCACTTCCGAATCAAATGTATCCAAGAATGGCTGCAAGATCGAATTAACATCAGGATTTCCTCGAAACTGTCCAAGAGAAGAATAAACTTCGAGCAAATGAAAGATTTGATTATCAATCAATTTATTAAACAAAAACGATACCTTATAATAAAAGGTAATTAAGTACCTGAAATACGATAATTTTCCCATTCAAATACATTTTTAATCTTGGGAAGTAGATTATCAATCTGTTTAATTAAATCTAGAATAGATTGAGATGAAGGCCCGACTCCGCCGAAATTTTGCCCCAACTTTTCAAATGTAGAAGTTTTTACGTGTTCATAATTTGTTTTAGGATAACTCGCCAAACGAAAAGCACCATCTTCATTGAAGGCATTAAAAGGCCTGTTAATAAACACCTATAGAAAATTTTCGATAAAGAATGAATCGGTGCTTTGTTTTTAAATTCCACAAATCCTTTCAATCACCTTTAATCCGTTATTCTTGGCCCAAATCGCGGTGGTGTTTAATCCACATCTCTCTAATAAATTACCGGGAATCTGCACCGCAGAAAACCCATGTTTTTCGGTTCCTCTTACGCGCTTCGAAGCTTCCTTTGCACGATCGATTAAATCATAAAAAGGCAAAAAATGTTTGTCTTCCTCAGGTACGGAAAAACTATTGGAGCTAATACCATAGGAACGAATTTGACCTTTATCAATCGCTTCTTCCATTGCTTCAAACGATTGACTAATCCTATCCAACATTTGCTTTTGATATTCTATTATAATGAAATAACAATATCAACAAAGGTGCATTCCCATTTCGCAAATAAACTATTGATTCCAAACTACCTTTCACATTTTCATTGGAAGACTTGATCTTATTCATAAGAAAATATTCTGGATTATGAATGAACAAAATATCAACATATTCCGCCTGCATGCGATGCAAACTTCGGTTCAGCTGATCTCTACAAATAATGAAAAGTTTAAATAAATAATCAATTTTGTTATTCTAAAAATAAATGAATTTTCATACTTCATAAATTCTGGATGAATGCAATGAAAGCAATTGGGATTATAGTGTACGATATGTTCATCTGGAACTTTCTATACTCGTAAATTGATTAATGTATATTTATTGTTTAAAACGAAAAGAAATATCAAGTCGTAACATCATACTTTAAACGCTCCATTTTGGTACAAATTCATGTTATTTCCTTGGATATACCCATATTTAGTTGCAAGGAATATTTCAGAGCGAGATAAAAATTTTCTATCAGAATTCGATAAAATTTTCCCAATCAACCTTTCACTATCTCCATCACAATAATTGGTCGAAGTATCGATCACATTGATATCGGAACCATCAATTTCTCTACTTAAAGCTTTAAGCAATGCATCTTCATTGAATTTATTTCCGAGACACATACGATACATCCCAATGCCAATACGAGTTAATTTTTCAACCGGCATCATTATTGTGAAATCAAAAAAAAGTAACAATCGACTATTTATTTGAAACATAAGGATCTGTAATAATTACATCATTAAGCATATCTTGAATTGTCCAAAATCGTTGATGTTTTTTGAATTTCATGTGCGTGGTTGATTGCTAACCAAAATGATTTATTTTTATACGCCATATTCATGTGATCAGCGAATTCACGTAAATTGGATTCATATTAAATAATTGCAATTGCATATTTCATCAATGGCTTCCTTGGTCTCGATGTGTGAGGACACATTTCTGAAGTGGAACATACGCATATTAATGGCTGGTTCACCAGCTTTTGAAAGTTTCTTACGAATATGGGAAAGTAATAAATAAATTTAAGAATATATATTTAATGACATGGACGAGCTATCTATGAGCAATCGCAAAATCCAGAAGAAGAATCGTCATGACAATACCCCGAACAGAAATTAGGATTCTGGTAAAGATAACGTTGTAATAATGTAACACAAATCTTTTTTTGTTATGATTTGGAGTAATTTTTCTGCTGTTCCTGATGATGAAGTTGCCCGTTGGAGTTCAATTCTCTAAAATGGCGTTAAATTTTATGGAAGAATGGGCTTTTCAGATGTTTCGTAGAACCATGGCAACTCAATTAGATAAGCAATCTCTTTCAGAAAAACGGACAGATTGAATTCGTTGAGCTGTCATAATCCTACTTTTTTAAGTAACCGATTTTAAAGCAGTGAAATACCGGTTTTGACGGTGTTGCTGAAGGATTGATTATTCGAAGTTGCATACAAGTTCGTTTATAAAATTTCTAGTCTATTCCTGGCAAGGCTTGCTTAAAGAATTGTTTACAGCAAAATCGAACGAAGTACAAATGTATACTTAGTTATAATGTAACCAACAAGATTTGCTCCTTTATTACTTTTTTTTTTTTTAATGTTCTAGTGATCGGTCGCCCGAGTATCCCGACTGAGGCTCGTATGTCCTATATGCCATTGTACTCAGAATCCTCTTTTATTACTTATCTTATAATTAGATGTATAAAAAGTGGAGCATTTTGTGAAACTTAAGACATCATCTTATGAGGACGCAATGTCCTTATTATTTTAAACAGACAAATAAATTATCTTCTGAAGAAAATTTTTTTTAATCTGATCGCAAATCATTTGAAGTCACGTGAAATTCATACATTAAAAGTTTTCTTAATATATGAAACATATATTTATTAATCTATTTTCAATAATTTCAAAAATTGTATCTCTTTAATAAAGAAATCTGAATTTAATAATATTATCCTCTATATATAATAATTATTTACAATTTTTAATTATTATATTTATTATATATAAATAATAATTCTTTATTATACTATTTTCTTTTTATTAGTATTATTTATCTTAATCTTGTAAAATAAGCAGATCACATGACAGATCTATGCAACAGAATAATTTTTCAATTTTTTTCAAACTAATTTATTTTTTAAGATTTTGCATTCATGCAAAACTATATATTACTCTATTAAAAATTATTAATTGAAATTCAAGTTTTATAATCTAATAATTTATGATATCCTTTCTAATATTGATAATCTTTCTCCAATTTTAAATGTGATATGGTAGCTATCATCTATAAGTGACAATATTATCATGTAATTTTAAAATTTTATAAGTTAAAACTATAATAATAAAATAAAAATTTAAATTGATAGAATAATAAAGTAATATAAGCTGAACATATATATTAGCTTATTTTATTAGAGATATTAAAAAAATTTAAGTTTATTTTAAGTTCAAAATTTAGGAATTTTTATATAGCATATATAGTAAAAAGGGACATTTTGAACTAAAGATCAACAATTTATACATAAAATTTTTTCGTATTTTTATATGAATATCAAGGCGTTTCCTTTTTTTTCATACTTTAATCTTTTATCAATAATACCTTAACTATCAAAAAGAAAATTAAGATTAAAGAATAAAAAAGAGATAATGATAGAAAGTTTGTAAAGAAATCACAGGTTATAAATGATTGAAAAGATGATGATTATAGCAGGTAGGATGATAAAATAGATATTTTAGATAAAAAAATAAATATGAGTTAATTTGATCAGATAATACATACTTAAAATGAAAAAACATGAACTTTACTTACAGGAAAAATTAAAAATCAACATATTTTGATAAATATAGACCTAATAATTGCTTTACAAAAGTTGTAAAAGGAACTGTAAGAATAATAATATTTATAAATAAAAATCCATTAACTTCAAAAGACTTTGATAAAATTTTGGATGATATTGAAGAGAATGATCAAAATCGATTTAATCTAAATAAAAAAATTGAAAATTTAAAAATTTAACTTAAAAAATAATAAAATTCTTTGAGTATAAATGAATATAATAAGAAAAAAACAATTTTTGAATATTTAAGAAGATTAAGTAATAATGATAGAAAAGGAAAAATAAAACTAATATAGAGATTGCATAAGCAGTTTATATTAAAAATACATAATATAAAGTAAGAATTATTCATTATTAGACAAAATATTAGCTTCAATATAATCATCTTCTAATTAGCCATCAAGGTAAATATCAAAAAATAATATGATTAATAGATGATAAAGATATTGTGAAATAATATCATATTTAAATTTAATCTCAAAAAGGAATATCCACTCAACATAAATTCAAAAAGTTTGTTAATCAAAAATTACTTATTAATTTGGGAATAATAAAAAAACCCATTAGTGTAACAACTGCAATACATTAATTAAATATACTTAATTATTTTTTTCAATCCTAAAAATATGGTAATTAAAATTTTTTTTTTTTTTATTAATGTATTTAACTTAAAATTAATATATTACTTACTATATATTAATAGGTACATATTATAATGATTATAAGTATCTTGATGTTATAAAGTATCAAAAATTATTTTTGGATGAAATCATGATTATAAAAAGTTTATGATAAAATATAAAGGCGAAAATATGAAATGGATTTTACCAACATTAGAATCTAATAATAAAAAAATAGTTCTTATAATACATGATGAATATATATTCTATTCTAATAATAAAAAATGAGAAGTATAAGTAAAGTCTGGAGAATTGCCATTGTGTAAAAAGAAAAATAGTTATTCCATTATGGTTAATGAGTTTTTATTAAAGAATGTGACTAACTCAAGTTGAATGTATAACAAATACAAGAAAATCCTTCTATACTTAGAGAATTACGTGCTTATTTTCAACTGGATAAAGATTGAGAAGGTTTTTAGATAAGTAAATATTTAATAGAACAAGTTAAAATAAAGGTCATTCCTATTTTTGAACACTTTTTCCTAACTGTATTGCATTATTTGCATTTGATAATAGTTTAAACTATGCAGCATTTAAATCTGATACTTTTTTAGCAAGTAGAATAAACTTAAAATCTGGAAGCAAACAACCAAAAGATGAAAAGTATTATTTTTGGATCAAATAATCAACATTAATCAATAATAAATGAAAATAACAAATTAAAAGAGATAAAGCAGGTTTTAATTAAGCATATATTGTGAAAAAATAGATTAAATGCTTATTATCAATTATATAAAGATAAAATAGATGATGAAAATCATGTAGATTTTATTGCAATCTGATTTTTAACACAAAAAATACGTTAGAAGAGATAATATTAAAAGCTGGGTATAAATGTATTTTTTATTCAAAGTTCTATTGTGAACTAAATTATATTGAATAATATTGAGGAGTAGCAAAAAGATATATTCAGGAAAACTACAATTATTCTTAGTTAGGTTTGCAATACATTGTTCTTATAACTTTAGAATCTGTTAATATAATAATAATAAAAAGTTTGTAAGAAAGGTATGACGTTACATAGATTTATATAAAAAGAGGATTATTGGTAAACTAATAGAATATGCTACTAAAAAATACAAGTCTTATCATTATATTTCTGATTATATATTAACAAAATTAAATAAATAAAATACACAATATATATATAATCACATGATTTAATATAAATCATATGATAAATCGCAATTTTAAATTTTGAATTATTATTGTTTATAAATGATAGCTACCATAGTGAGAAAAAGAAATTTTATTTCAAGGATCGAATTTTTTTCAACAAACAAAAATTTTTGTAAAATACATGTCATATTCATGCGTAACCTATCAGAAAAGAGTATGTCATATTCATATTATTCATAATCAACCTTACAAATATAGATTTTTATAACTTTATATAAGGCTAAAATTTGTTGATTTTTAGAATTATGAATTCATAATTCTATATAAATACTTTAATTTTAAGTGATTTTAACTAAAATTATGTAATAAATTATTTCTTTAAATATAACTTTTTATATACTGATCTAATTATTTAAAATCTAAAATTTTTCTTGATTAAAATTTTCTTTTTTTAATAACAAATTTTATCGAAAGAATACTTTCTAACAACTATTCAAAAAATGATCTTCAAAAAAAGCCAAACGTATTGTTATAGGAAGATATTAATCCAAAAGATCACGTGATACACGTGACCAAAAAGGCATATTAATTGCGCTACATTAAACGATGAAGACGGCAAAGATGAGAGAAATGAATTAAACAAAAGTTACACGAAAAACCCAGAAGTCGCCGGAAAATTCCATTATATTATTAATCATTTTTGTATTATTAATCATTTATCATTTATAATCAATTAGTAT